AGGCTTTCCAACAATGCTAAGAATTTTGTAAAACAAAGAATATTTTCAGAGGTTAAAATGCATCACTTCAAATGTGAACTTCAGCTATTGAACTGGAATGATGTTTTTTCCTGCACCGATGTAAATATTTCTTATGAAGTATTTATTTACAAAATTAAAAATCTGATAAATCGACTATTCCCAATTAAAACTGTCCAAATAAAAAATAAATCCAAAGTATGGATAACAACCGGTATAAAGATATCAAGTGGGAGGAAACGTGTTCTTTACAAACAGCAACTAGAAGGAATAATATCTAAGGATTTCTATAAAAGGTATTGCAAGATATTAAAAAATGTTATCTCCGAAGCCAAAAAAATGTCAAATATTTATTATATTGAAAATTCAAAAAATAAAGGTAAAGCAATGTGGAATCTAGTAAAAAAGTTTACAAATTTTAAAAATTACAACACCGAGTCGGTATTATGTCATATTAATCCTGAAGAAAAAAACAAAGAAAGAGTACTAAACGGCATAAATAGTCATTTTATAAATCAATGTCCTAAATTACAAACAGCAGTACAATATGAATCTATATCTTATATTCAGCCTAGTATATTTTTAGAACCTACCTATCCTAATGAGGTATATAATGTTGTAATGAATTTAAAGAACACAAACTCTGTAGGTGATGATGAAATTCCCGTTAAACTGTTGAAATTTGTAAGTACCGAGATTTCATATCCTTTGTCCCATATTATAAATCTATGTCTAAAGAATGGTATCTTTCCAGATAAACTAAAAACTTCTTATATAAAACCAATTTTTAAAAAAGGTTGTAAAAATGATATCTCGAATTATAGACCTATTGCTTTACTTCCTAACATTAGTAAGATCTTTGAAAAAATTATATATAACAGATTAATAAAATTTCTTGAAGCATATTACTTGTTGTCGGATACTCAAAATGGGTTTAGGAAAAACAAAACAACTGTTAGAGCAGTTTATCAGGCATTATCTAAAATTTTAGATGCGATGAATCGTAAGCACGAAACAGTGGCTGTCTCCCTGGATTTGTCTAAAGCGTTCGATTGTGTCGATCATGATATTTTATTAACAAAATTATTGGAATGTGGCATAAGAGGCGTGGCAAAGAATCTGATAGCATCATATCTTCACGATCGAATGCAATGCGTTGCAGAAGTTGATAAGTTGGGAAAATTTATAAAATCAAATAAAATGTTAATACAGAAAGGTGTACCTCAGGGATCAATATTGGGACCATTGCTGTATATTATATATACTAATGATTTACCATTAAGAACAAATGAATATGTGGTTCAGTATGCTGACGACAGTACAATAGTTTTTGATTCATCTGATCATAATATAATTCAAGGAACTATAAATAATACTGTTGAAACTTTGAAAAAATATTTTGCTTCATTGAATTTACAGCTAAACAAGGATAAAACCCAAATGATAACATTTTCAAGGGGAAATGGTCACGAACTACCACTTGCAAATACGGTTAATGAGCCAAAATCTGTAAATCATTTGTTGTTTCTGGGAATCACAATTGATTCGCGTCTGGATTGGAGGTACCATGTTGATTCCTTAGAGCGGAAAATGGCCCAATATTGTTATGCGTTAAAGATATTGTCTCAAAATATTAATGTTGAAGCAGCTTTTTCGGCATATTTTGCTTATATACAATCCAGAATTAAATATGGAATTATTTTTTGGGGCATGTCCTCTGATGCGAAACGAATATTTGTTTTGCAGAAGAGATGTCTTAGGAATATTTTAAATATGACTCAAAGAGAATCCTGCAAGAATGTTTTCATTTCTAAGAACGTGCTCACATTAATAGGTTTGTATATTTATGAGGCAATCATCTTTGTAACTGAAAACAGATCCTTCTTCGACAGCTACCAAAAAGAACACGCGTACTATACAAGGAATAAAGATGTGTTAACGCCGAATGTACCTCAATTTACTTACATCCAAAAAAATATACCCCACTCTATAATAAAAGTTTTTAATAAGTTACCTAACAGTACTAGTGCTTTACCTATTAAGATTCTGAAGAAGAAATTGAAATCATTTTTGGCAGCGAAGGCTTATTATGCTGTGGATGAATATTTCAATGATAATCTATCCTATTGTTTATAAAATGTGTTTTTTTTTTGACGATGTTATTTTAATGTTTGTTATATTATTGTATTATTGTATTTTTTCCTATGTGATTTTGTACTTTTATTTTAATGTTAGCATTAGTTTGTCATATTTGCACTTTTTTTTTTTAACTTGACTTGTTCAACGCTCATTTTTGAGCATGATGTATATTGCATCTGAACTAAATAAATCTATTTTATTTTATTTTAAATAAATATGCAATATTGGTTATCGCTTTGCATTGTAAAATTCTTTATTTTTTTATGAGTTATAACTTTTAATAAACCTTAATAGTTTTATTTGAAAAATAAAATTATACTGTCTTTTAAACATAGCTTTGTAAAAAAAAAAATTTCATCTTTTTATTAAACTAAGAGAATTTATATTTTAAATTAATATTGAAATTCTCGGAAGCACATTATTTATTCCGCAAAGCGCGTTAAAATTGTATTTAAAAAAAAAATAATAGGGTGAGGAAAAAAGCACAAAATTAGAGGACAAAATGGGGAAATTCTCAAAGATAAACAA